TTACTTCCAACTTTATTTCCCTTTGGGATAGAATCAAATCCCGATATCCCCTCCAATCAACGCATAACCCTCTTCTCTCCCACCTTCGAAACCCAGCCTTCCCTCCAGTCTGGTCTTCTCACGTTCTTTCGCGCATTGGTCCTCAGAGAACCTTCTTCAAGCCCATCACTTTCTGACCAACACTAGTATCAAATCCTTCCCCTCCCTTCGAGAATCGCATTCTCTACCAGTGTCAGAAATCTTTAGATACCTTCAACTGAAGCACTTCTATACCCCCCTATCAACTACTTTGTACTCCATCCACTCCATGACCTTCTTTGAACGCACGTGCAAGAAAGACCTACACAGGCAGGTTCTCACCTCCGCTCTTTACGCCCTATTATTGAATGCTGAGTCTTCCCCTGGTCCTCCATATGTCGCTAAGTGGGAGAGGGACCTAGGATCCAAGCTGAGCTCTGACGATTGGGACTGCGTTTGGTCGGCAACCAAATCCTCCTCACAGAACGTGGTAGAGGTCGAGACTAACTACACGGTCTTGACTCTATGGTACCTAGTCCTGGCAAGGATTGCTAAATATACTCTGGGTTACTCTCCAGACTGTTTTCGGGGTTGTGTGATGCCCAGCAGTTCAAGTTTTCTGGGTCGGAATCTTCCACATGCGGTCTACTCTTTTTGTACAACCAGTCGCCTACCCCAGACATTGCCTTACTAAATTTGCTACCCCCCCCCCCCACCCCCCTCATCCCACCCCCCCACCCCCATCCATGTCTCAATTCAAACTTCTCTTACAGATCATTTTCAGCTGCCAAACAAATTATAGCTAAATCTTGGAAAACACCAGCCCAGGCAATGATACATGCTAAAGTGGAAGCTGCCATTACAGACACTGTCCCTAAATTTTTGTCAGTGTGGTCCCCCTGGCTGGAACACTTCCTTCCCCCAAACTTTGACAAATCATTGCCCCTCCCTTATTAATTCTCCGCACCTGATGGTAGTCCTGAGCCTTGGTCCGGTCCCAAGTCCCGCTCACTATTCTAGTAGTCACACGCTCTGTCCAACCACCCCCCCTTCTTTTCTCTTACTCCAACCGTTCACGCTATACAAATTTTTTTTGTTTGCTTTGCCTTCCAAGGAACCTGTCCATATGACCAAAGAGTATCACCCCATTTGTTTCCAATTAACAATACCCTGCTCCCTTTATTTTGCATTACTCCCTCCCACTCATTGCAGTTCTCCTCTGTTTACACATGTCTTAATTCTTTTCTACTGTGAATGTACATTAAAGTTGCATGGCATACATACAATATGCAAACACCAATAAAACGTTTGAACAAGAAGATTGTGTAAGCTGTCTGCTCATAGAAGTAGGCAGTTACACACTGATAGAAAGCCTGAATTAACTACCACATCACTCAACAGCACAGTGGTAGCTCATTGAGAACTACAACAGCCAAAGTTTCCGATTCACAGAATACCATAAATAAGTGACACGGGCAGAGCCCCACACAGCCACATATATTTTTTTTTTTTCTTTTCATTGTGGCAGCAGACACAGGGGGAGAAAGATTCCTAGTCCACTGTCACAAGGAAGGGGGGGGGGGGGGGGGGGGATAGTGGTAACTGTAGGAACATGTTACACACGGTGAGCTTAATCTTTACAAAGCAAAACACTTTAACCACATGCCATCCACCCTACACCTTGCCCATTTTGGAGTTCAGATCAAAAAAAAAAAAAAGAAACCTGCAACAGGGCAGCAAAAGTTTTAGTTTAGGTATTTGGATTGTTCCAGGTAAAGACACAAAAGTACCAAAGATACAGCATGAGCCTGAAAGCCAGGCAACTAACTTTGTTAGAATATATATCAGCAATAGTAGCCTCTGAAGGTTGCAAATGAGAACCTTTTATGTTAATGGCAAATTATTATAAAATTAAGAATCTTTCAGAAGGACAATACAAAAAGTGTAATGTATATGAGGATATGCAAAATATGAAAACACCAGAAGGAAAATACAAAATTGAAGATGTGTACAAGGAAGCACAGATTTTAATTGTTTTCTTTTTTTTTGATACCCAGACACATTTCAAATTGCTTTCCAGTCTATGTAATGACATACTGCACAAATATATTGCAAAAATTGATTTACAAGGCTTAAAACTAATGACTAAAACAGAAACCATTGTAAAATTGTGGCTTAGCTCCAAAATAAATTCCAGGTGTCATTATTCTCTTTTAAGGCCACTGGTGAATACAGTTTGATACACTTTCTGTGGGAAGAGAAGCTGTAGGAACTATATACCTAGCATTTGTAGGAACTGTAATTAAACTGAAAAAACATAACATTTTTAATCGATCCTAAAATAGTTTGGGAAGGTTTATTCACCGCCCTACTGAACAAAATGTGCTACATCCAGGGGTCAAGGAGACAGGTTCAAAGAATCTCCTTACAAAACTGACCAAATCATTCTGTAAACATGATATACATCTCTGTATGCAGGTATCCAAAGCAAATTTTGCTTTGGATTTCATTATAGCCTTTTGTAGGGCACACAAAATATTCTTCAAAACCGGTGTCTTTATTTCTAACTGTAAGCTGTTTTACACAACTCAACTGTTAAAAAAAAAAAAGTGCTATGAAAACAGCAACATTAAGTGACTTCGTATAGTTTGCAAGAAAACTGGTCTCATTCTATGTAACTGCATAGCAGTTAAGTGCTTGCATGTACTGAAAGTATACAATTTTGTCAGACAGTCTGTGATTAGACACTTTAGTATGACCACAGGTCTACAGCCTAGTTCATACAAAGACTCAAAAGAGGCAAACCCAAAAAACTCACTGCATTTGACAAAACCTGTCATTAGGTTTTGTTTGCTAATTTTTACACTTTAATATTCAGTGGTGTATGAAAGGCCCAGTGATGCTACTTTTGGTCCAAGATGGAACCTTTTAATTTCCCAGACTCTTTATAGAAACCATGTGATGGGGGGGGGGGGGGGGGGAATATATAATATAATAGTGGGGAACAGTTCTAATACAGATCACCTTCATTAAAGCAGATATTTGATTTCTTGAATCATTACAGCTGCCTCTAGGATCTCACAGAAACCAACATGTCAAGATATACATAATGCCTGTTTCTGCCTATTGATCACTAGTGTCTCCCTGCAAAGGGTCTTACATCCATTGTCAAATGCTAAGGGTACCCAACCATGGTTGTAAAAGTGCGATTGCTCTGCTGCAATGGTGGTAGGACTGAAAAGGATTAGAACTGTTGTTTTTTTTTTATACCTTTTCTTCTCTCCATGACAGGCTCACCAAGTTAATCTTAGAGCTTCCATTCTCTAGATTACATACTGTAAGGCTATATACACTAATATGAAGACATGATTAGCACTGTACAGGATGTAGAGTCTTTACAATACAAATAATGCATCAGTCACACCACAAGACAGGTTTCTCCAGTCTTAAAGATTATCTCTAGCTTTTAGTGAAGTTTAAATAGTGATTTTTTTTTTTGGACAAGCTTGATCCAAACAATGTACAAGAGATGCAGTGGTTCTCAGCACTGTATGTAGCCTCAGCTACCTACAGTATATAGAGCTATGTTCCAGCAGTGAGATGGAAACTTCCTGTCCCACATCTGAAAAATAATTGATTTTGAGTGAGCACTGCTCAGCCACTCACAGGGAGCTTTGCATATTTTGAATGCACACAAAGCTTCCTCTGATTGACAAAGTCTTAGATCATGATGTCATCCACTCACCCCATCAGATGAAGTGAATATAAAAACTCCCTGTGAATGGCTGAAAAGCACTCATACTTAAATTTTGTTCCCAGTGGGTGACTAATGTCCCCCTTCACTGCCAAACACCGCCATGTATACTGTGTGTAGCTAAAACTACATGCAGTACCAAGAGTCTTAGTGAAGTAAATAGTTTGCTTGGACCAGCTTAGTCCAAATGAACTCCCAACTTCACTAAAAGCTGGAGCTCAACTCCGAAAAACCATGATGTACACTTTATGACACTCCAAAACACAGGATACCACAAAAACAGATCTGCACACGTCTGTGGTTACATCATGTGCTAAAAAGGCATGAATGTGTATAGGTCTTGTGATTTCAATTGAAATACATATAGCATCATAGCTATGCTGCCTTTTCCATTCAAAATTACTTTATAACTCTACGTACTTTGGAGCTATATAACGTGCAATAAGTTCCAGTCTATGGGATGAGTGTACAGAAATCTGAAACCTTACAGCAGAATAAAAAAGGACTTAAAGTAATAAAAAACTAAAAAAACACACACCCTGAATTTTTTTTAGATTTAAAAAGATTTTTTAGCATATTCCCAAAAGCAAAATGAGAGAATCTGCTTTAAAAATATTGAGAGGTTTTGCATGACTGATGAGAAAACCTATGAAAACAGATGAAAGATTAAGCAGAATGCAAACATTACATGCAATGAGGTATTTACATAAAAAAAAAAAAAAACCACTATCCACAGTAATTATAATAAAATCATGTTTGTAAATACAGCAGCCGTTCACAAAATGTTTTAAACAGTTTTACACAATGATTCCTGACACAATAAATAGAATTCAATTTTCAAAAATATTTCTTTTCTGTAAAGAAAATGAGGAATCTCAGTCAATTGGTAAGCCATATATAAGATATGTAGAGCTGCACTGCAATTAAAATGGCATGGGCAAAAAAGGGGCACCATGTTTCTATACAGAATAGTATAACTGTCCCAATTGTGGCAGTCAGTTAAAATATTAAAAATAAATTAAGAAAAAAGGTGCCCTTCATAAGAGAATTAAAACACAATGCTATTTAACATACTGAGGTTAAAATAAAGTAACCATTTTTGCATCCAATGTTATTTCATAGCTGCTGTTTCATGACTAGAGTTGATCTTGATGTAAACTTCATTTCGAGTAAAAAGGCATACATCTGGACGGCTTAAATCCCCATCTGTGGCTGTGTGCCATCACCTTTATGATTCCTGTTGTGTCCTCTTCTGAGAGGCTTTTCCCTGAGACATGTATTTACTGGAAAGGCTGCCTAGGGGGAAAAAAAAAAAAATAAAATAAAAAAAGTAATTTGTCTATATGTTGTTTTATGGCAATGATGGTGGTGGAGGAAATATGGATGGAAGCCATACACAAACAAGAGGGATAATGGTCTTGATCAGCAACACCTTATGATCGGTTGACTACTAGTTGCCATTATGAAGTTAGTGATGCTTTGTTTTAAAGCCCATTTTTAGGTTTTTCCTCAAGCATAGTTAAAAAAAAAAAAAAAAAAAAAAAAAAAAAAAAACAACAACCACCCTTTCACTGCTGGCAGTGCATGCACACTAAAGGGCACACACTGGCCTATGTGGCAACAGCAGTCTCTACACAACAGTTTGACACCACCTGGCCTGCCATCACTACAACTCTGGCAGAGAACACACCCTGCTGATTGCAATCACAAAACTAAGGATGACAGGGCGGATGGCTGTCAGACTGCTGCACTCACACAAAGCACAGTAGTATTTGCTTGCACATTCCCACTAGCAATAAGTTTTCTGCTGGGGTTGCGAGAGAACACACACGTAACTATACATATCTATACTTTAGGGATGAAACCTACAACTTTAAAATGTTTAACTTTTCCTTTAATAAAATATCTACAACAAAAATAGTCTTATACAGATACTAGATTTACTGATTTTCTTATAACAATCGAGCCCGACACACTAGACAGACAATGCAATTGTCCTTTTGCCCCTTACTTCCCCCTTCTGCCCAAAATACTACTGTATACAAGAACTGATGAGATTCAATTTAAAGAACACCTGGCATCAGTGGTTTTATTATATCCAAGTCAGAGACAAGAGGAATAGTTTCACACACAACACTATATATTATTGAAAATATAGTATAGTATTGAAAATAACACTGCGGCTGTAAGCTTCTGAAAATTACTCAACTAAAAAAAATAAATTTTGCAATTTTTAATCTGCAGCTAAAGCACTGTGAGCTCTTTGGATAACCAGTTTCAACTCACCTGACTGAGGACTGAAGGACATTTGTTTTTTCCTATCATCTTGTGATGGTACTACCTGAAATGCAAGAAATACATTTTGCTGTAAACATATACATAATGAATAAAAACAAACATCTGCTCTTGGCACAGAAACCACTGTCTGGCATGGATGCATGTGTGGCGTATGGGAGTTAAAGCGGTAGTAAACACCACTTGCTGGCTGACTTCTACCTACAGGTAAGATTATAATTAAAGCTAACCTGTATGTACAAGGAAACTCTCTCCTAAACGCGTGTCTTTTTTTGCCACACTTTACTACCGCTCCAAAGCCTGCACTCTTGTTGCTGCACATACAGATTTGAGTAGCAAGAAGCTACCAATTTATCACATTTAAATACAACTCCAGCCAGAAATGTATCTTTTTAGGAAAGTTGAGGTTTAAGCCTCTGTCAGGTTATGGAGGTCTCTGAACCCATTAGGCAGATTTGATCTCTGTTCAAGTCACCAAGCAAGGCACTAGTCACCAAAGCAGAAAGCGAAAGGTAATCTTCCCAACACAAGCAAGAAAAACCTGGTAAAGGATTATATTTCTTTTTAGGTTTCAATACATTGATGAAAGATTGTTTTGGCTCGAGTTCTAATATAAGCAAACAATCTTGCTTTTAACTTTATTTTTAAGAGAAGATGTACATGTTTAACCTGTAACAAATATAGTATGTGCAGCAGCAAAAGGGTGGGCTTTACATTCACACGCTGCACACTTGCATCACTGCACAGCTGATGTTTCTGTGTAGAGAGCAAGCTTACAGCACAAAGACCAAGCTGTAAAGGCAGATCTGGATTCCCACCAATGATCAGTAGCTGGCAAGACAGACAATCACAGTAGTCGCACACGAACACTGATCCTTCCCGCCCCCCGTGGATACAGACCCTATCAAAAGGGATGCCAGGGCTGGGCAAGGAGAGTTTACCAACTGTAATTCAGTTGATTTCCCACTTACTGGGATAAATCGGGTGTGTGGTTTCTGAGGACTGGCTGCAGATGGCGATCCATACAAGATCTCAGACTTGGGGCTCCCTGTATTTAAAAACAATTACACAAAGTCAGAAAAACATTGTAATATAGTAGAACCCCTACGTGATATGATCTTTGCTTACATCTGCTGCACTACTTGCTTGTATTGATACATGCATGGAAACCCTTATCACATTGTATTGATACATGCATGGAAACCCTTTATCACATTTGCAAATCTGTCACAAGCTGAAACTCAACAGCAACAGGATTGCTAAATAGAGCATTCGCTTGATCCTATGGCATCACCGTTTTACTGAAGCCTTGTAGAATATTTTTCAGAACCAAAGAAGCAACAAGTATAAGCAGGAAAGGGTTTTCTGTGCTTTTAACAATCCTGATACTGGGGAGCAACTGCCAGTGACAGGACTGTTAGTGAAACTTGGGCCTTAAATGGTCTGCTGATAAAAGATAAATACTTAAGTCACCTCTCACAATTGAGGACTACAGATATTTGTAGATTAAAGTTCATGAATATATTAGTACATACTTCTGGTTCTTTTTACCATTTCCCTTGATCTTAGCAAAATCAAGACTGTAGGTAGTGGATGTACAGTTAGTCATATCTGGCTACCAGCATAGATGCAAAGTCAGGTCAGAGACAGATTACTATGAAAGCTCCAAATGCATTAGTATGCCCATTTTAAGCTTCAAGAATGAAAAAAATATTGCCCTGAATACTTTAAAGTCAATGAATGGCAAGGGACAAGTCCACTTTTGACAAGCAAACAAGAAGTAAAAAGGATGTTCTTTAAGCATAATAGTTCCTTATTTCTATAGCTCACTAATTGCAATTGTAAAACACGGTTTTCAGTAGTGCAGATGAATGTCACAAAAGTACTTGTGTAACTAAAAGTGGTGAAATCAGCTGTGCCATTTTGTAAGGTGGGGTGGTAAAGGCAAAGAGTTCAGTTATATATTTACCACACACTGTCACTCACCTGCCGCCCCTTTATACTGAGGGCATTCTTTCTTAATATGACCCTCCCGTCCACAAATGAAACAGCGTTTTTCCCTAAGCTCTCTTTCCTCTCTGTCTTCTGGTCTTCTCACTTTTCAGAGCCAGATCTAGGTGTTCTATCTTTGCAGAGCTCATTGTTGCCCCAAGTTCCTTGCTGGGCTTTTCTTGGAGTTGCATGAAGTTCTCTTCCATCCATGCTCACACCACTTCCCTGCATTTCCTTGTCCTCAATTTTTCTTTGCGGTCTGTCTGGGTATCTTTGGTTTTGGCTTGAGGCAGTTTCGTGATTGCGTCTTCTAACTCTAATGAGGAGAAAGAAAAAAAAAAAAAAAAAAAAAAAAAGAAGGAGCCATGGGGAACCAGGTGAGATGTGTTAAATTTAGGACTGAATGTCTAACATGCAAAACTGAAGTACAGTGGGGAAAATTATGTGATCCTCTGCATATTTTGTAAGTTTGCCCACTTACAAAGATGAAGGGTCTATAATTTTTATCATAGTTATATTTTAAATGGAGACAGAATATCAGCCGAAAAGCCAGAAAAAACACATGATACAAAGGTTATAAATTGAGCTGCAGTTCAGTGAGTAAAATAAGTATTTGATCCCCAAGCAAAAATATGACTGCGCTTGGCGACAAAGGTTTCTCCACCAAGTACGGAGGAAAGTTGTTCCTTTTAGTTGGTTATCAGGTTTGCACACATCTCAGGAGGGATTTTGGTCCATTCTTTGCAGAAATTCTCTAAATCCTTAAGGTTTCTTGGCTGTCGCTTGGCGAAGTTTCAGCTACCTCTATAAATTTTCTAGTAAGGTCTGGAGACTGGCTAGGCCACTCCATGAACTTAATGCACTTCTTCTTGAGCACTCCATTGTCGTCTTGGGTCATTGTCATACTGGAAGACCCATCCACAACTCCTCTTCAGTGTTCTGTCCTGGGGGAAGAAGGTTTCCATCCAAGATTTTACAATACATGGCCCAGTCCATTGGCCCCTCCATGCGGCAAAGTTGGCCTGTACCTTTAGCAGAGAAACAGCCCCAAAGCATAAGCTTTCCACCTCCGTGCTTGACTGTAGAGATGGTGTTCTTAGCGTCACAGTCAGCGTTTTTCTTCCTCCAAATACGGCAAGGCGAGTTAAAGCCAAAGAACTCAATTTTAGACTCAGCTGACCACAGCACTCTCTCAATCCTTCGGATGTTCGCTGGCAAACTTCAGACAGGCTGTACATGTGCTTTCTTGAAGGGGACCTTCTGGGCACTACAGGATTTCAAGCCATGATGCAATATTGTGTTACCAATGGATTGTTTGGGGACTGTGATCCCAACTGCCTTGAGATCATTTACAAGTTCCTCCTGTTTAGTTCTGGGCTGATCCCTCACTTTTCACATGATCATCCCTACTCCACGAGGCAAAATCTTGCATGGAGCTGACCGAGGGCAATTGATGATTATTTTGTATTTCTTCCATTTGCGAATAACAGCTCCAAACAGTTGTTGCCTTCTCACCAACCTCCTTGCTGATGGTCTTGTAGCCCATTCCAGCCTTGTGCAGGTCTACAATCTTTTCCCTGATGTTCTTTGACAGCTTTTTTGGTCTTGCCCATTGTGGTAAGGTTTGAATTGAAGAAAGATTCTCTAGACAGGTGTCTTTTATACACAAAAGTTGTCGTTAGGAAGACCCTCTTAAATGACAGGACTAATCTGTGTACCACATGAGCACATAACCAGTCAATGGGAGCCAGAATTGTTGGTTGGTAGGAGATCAAATACTTTTTACTCAATGAACTGCAATTTATAACATTTGCATTGTGTTTTTTCTGGATTTTTGGTTGAGATTCTGTCTCCATCATTTAAAAAACACCTGATAAAAAATTAGAGCCTTCATTGCTTTGTAAGTGGGCAAACTTACAAAATCTGCAGGGGATCAAATAATTATTTTCCCCACTGTAGATCTGAACCCATGAACAAAAATGCAAACTACTGCAGCATTCAGTCTTTAGATATGGTGGTTGCATTAGCTTTCACTGTTCAGACAATATTTTAAGCATGTACAGAAAATACCTGTTAAAGAAAATCATCATTTTTGTTACAGTTCTATTCACATGGGGTAAAGTACATGCAGTATATTGGTCCCATGCTGCCAATACCCATCTAACCATAGTTCTGAGGGCAAGACATTTCAGACACTTTATTCCTCTTGCTGTTGCTTGTCTGACAACTTTGAGAGAAAACAGCCAATTCATAAGTGCAGCTGGTCTCGACTGTGAACATTTTCTACAGATTGGCTGTGGCAGGTTGGGCTTCATAACTATGGTTAGAAAACCATTAGCAACTTGGTACAAAGCACTACATAACCCCCAGACACTGGGTAAAATCTAGATACAAAAAAAAAAAAAAAAAAAAATCAAAAAAACAATGCAATGATTTGCAAGTCTCAAACCCATATTTTATTCACAATTGGAAATAGAAAACATCAAATGGTATATTTTCTCAGTTTAAAGAAAAAGAACCATGCTTGTTTTTAATGTAAATATTGGAAGTCTGATCTTTGGGCACTCAGCACTGCTTTTCGGCCTTCTCTCTTGTGTAGAGATTTCTTCAGATTCTCTGAATCTTCTGATATTATGTACTGTAGATGATAGATTTAAGGCCTTTGAAAAGCTGCATCTAAAAGTTAATTTCTGAATAATGTTCCTCAACATAAAATTGCAGATTGGTGAAACCTCTGTTCATCTTTACTTCCAAGACACTGGATTATCTGAGATGTTTTTTTAATACCCAATCATGTTACTAACCTGTTGCCAACTAACCTAATTAGTTGCAAAGTGTTCTTCCTTGTCAGTACCACTTACAACACTGTGAAAAAGTATTTGCCCCCTTCCTAAATTTTTTTTGCATATTTGTCACACCTAAAATTAGTTTGATCCAAATAATTTATTACATTATAGATTTCATTTATTAAGGGAAAAAAGCTGTCCAAACCTGCCTGGCCCTATGTGAAAGTAATTTGGACTGCTTTTTTCTCCTCATCATACAAAGTGCCGTTTTGAAATGAAGAAGATTTCACTTATTTACACAGATTATCTTTGTGTAATATTAACATTTGCTGATCTGAATAACTTGTGAGTCAAACCTAAGGGTAAAAAAACAAAAAAAAAATAATCAGGAAGGGGGCAAACACTCACAGCACTGTACACTGCCATCTTTTTTGTTGCCTTATCCCAAATCTTGAGACGTGTTGCTGCCATCAATTTCAAAATTACATTTCTTACAATGATATGTTTTCTACTGTATATTGTGAATAAAATGGGTTTATTGTGTTATTGTGATTAAAATGTGGGTTTATTGTGTATTGTGATTAAAATGTGGGTTTATGAGACCTGCAAATCATTGCATTTTGTTTTTATGTTTTAAACAGCGTCCTAACTTTTCTGGCATTGGGGTTGTACATTACCCCATCAAGGCAGGAAAACCAGATTAGATGATACAGGTGAAACTCGAAAAATTAGAATATCATGCAAACGTTCATTTCATTTATTTCAGTTAAGCAACTTAAAAGCTGAAACTAATATATGAGACAGACTCATTACATGCAAAGCAAGATAGTTCAAGCTGTGATTTGTCATAATTGTGATGATTATGGCTTACAGCTCATGAAAATCCCAAATCCACAATCTCAGAAAATTACATGCAATCAATAAAACAAGGATTGTACATAGAATATCGGACCTCTGAAAAGTATAAGCATGCATATGTACTCAGTACTTGGTTTGCTCCCCTTTTGCAGCAATTACTGCCTCAGTGCGTCGTGGCATGGAAGTTATCAGCCTGTGGCACTGCTGAGGTGTTATGGAAGACCAGGATGCTTCAATAGCGGCCTTCAGCTCTTCTGCATTGTTCGGTCTCATGTCTCATCTTTCTCTTGCAATGCTCCATAGATTCTCTGTGGGGTTCAGGTCAGGGAAGCTTTCTGTCCAATCAAGCACAGTAATCCCACGGTCATTGAACCAGGTTTTGGTGCTTTTGGCATTGTGGTGCAGGTGCCAAGTCCTGCTGGAAAATGAAGCCAGCATCCCCATAAAGCTCATCTGCAGAAGGAAGCATGAAGTGCTCCAAAATCTCCCGGTAGATGGCTGCGTTGACCCTGGACTTAATGAAGCACAGTGGACCAAATCAACACAGATTGTGGAAACTTCATACTGGACTTCAAGCATCTTGCAGAATGTGCCTCTCCATTCTTCCTCCATACTCTGGGTCCTTGGTTTCCAAATGAGATGCAAAAGTTGCTCTCATCAGAAAAGAGGACTTTGGACCACTGAGCAACAGACCAGGTCTGTTTTTCTTTAGCCCAGGTAAGACGCTTCTGACGTTTGTTGTTCAGGAGCGGCTCGACAAGAGGAATACAATATTTGAAGCCCATATCCAGGATCCGTCTGTGTGTGGTGGCTGTTGATGCACTGACTCCAGCCTCAGTCCACTCCTTGTGAAAGTCTCCAACACTTTTGAATGGCCTTTTCTTGACAATCCTCTCCAGGCTGCGGTCATCCCTGCTGCTTGTGCACCTTTTTCTTCCACACTTTTCCCTTCCACATAACGTTCTATTAATGTGATTTGATACAGCACTTTGGAACATCCAACTTATTTTGCAGTGACCTTTTGAGGCTTTCCCTCCTTATGGATGGTGTCAATGATGGTTTTCTGCACAACTGTCAGGTCAGCAGTCTTTCCCATGATTGTGATTCCTACTGAACCAGACTGAGAGACCATTTAAAAGGCTCAGGAACCCTTTGCAGGTGTTATGGCTTAATTAGCTGATTAGAGTGGGACACGGAGCCTAGAATATTGCACCTTTTCATAATATTTTCTAATTTTTAGAGATTATACTTTTCAGAGGTCCGATATTGCTCTATGTACAATCCTTGTTTTATTGATTGATTGCATATAATGTTCTAATTTTCTGAGATTGTGGATTTGGGGTTTTCATGAGCTGTAAGCCATAATCATCACAATTATGACAAATCACAGCTTGAACTATCTTGCTTTGCATGTATTGAGTCTATCTCATATATTAGTTTCACCTTTTAAGTTGCACTACTGAAATAAATGAGCTTTTGCACGATATTCTAATTTTTTGAGTTTCACCTGAACATCTTCTTTAGGTGTCCTTGTCACATTGTGAATTCAACTAAAAACGCAAATTGTCCAAGTCATCTTCTGTAAAATACAAAACCTTCTGCTCCCCATGTAATTGAAATTAACTGAAGACTTGTCTAATCTACATCAGGACAGTAGCCTGGGAGGCAACCA